AGGTGGCTGGCGCCTTAGCCACTTGAGCCACAGGTGCCTAGCCACAAATTATTATTTTTTTTTAAGAGACAGAGTCTCAGTTTGTCACCCGGCATAGAGTACCTGTGGCGTCACAGCTCACAGCAACCTCCAGTTCTTAGGTTTAGGCTATTCTCTTAGCCTGCCACAATGCCTGGCTGTTTTTTTTGTTGCAATTTGGCTGGGGCCAGGTTTGAACACACCACCCTCACTATATGGGGCTGGCGCCCATTAATTTTTTTTTTTTTTTTTTTTTGAAACAGAGTCTCACTTTGTTGCCCTAGGTAGAGTCCCCTGGCCTCACAACTTACAGCAGCCTCAAATTATTTGGCTCAAGTCTTGTCTCAGCTTTCCCAGTAGCTGGGGCTCTAGGCACCCACCACAAAATCCAGCTATTTTTAGAGATGAGGTCTCCCTCTGGCTCTGGTTTAGGCTTATCTCAAACCTGTGAGCTAGCCTCTAGCCTTGGGCTCTCAGAGTGCTAGGATTACAGACATGAGCCTATTTACAAATATTTAAAGGGCTGGGTGTGGTTGCTCACACCTGAAAAAGATTTCAGCCCTCTGGGAGGCCAGAGCAGGAGGGTTGCTTGAGCTCAGGAGTTTGAGAACAGTCTGAGCAAGAGTGAGACCTCATATCTACTAAAAATAGAAAAAATTAGCTAGGCATTGTGGTGAGCACCTGTAGTTCTAGCTACTCTAAAGGCTGAGGCAGGAAGATGGCTTGAGCCCAGCAGTTGGAGGTTGCTTGAGTTAGGCTGTGGCCATCATGGCTCTCTAGCCTTGGAACAGAGTAAAACTTTCAAACCAACAAACAAAAGAAAACTTCCACCCAGTTTTCAAAGAACTAGCTATGAATTGAATATGTGTTATGTACTCAGATCACTTTTGGGGAGCATTGATAATATGTATTTGAAATAAACACTTTTTTTTAATAGTGGCTTTTTTGAGGTATAATACACAAACCAGGGAATGCATCCATTTAAAGGATACCATTCAATGGATTTTAGTGTATTATCAGTTTTGTGCAATTATTTCCATATTCAATTTTAGATCTTTTTCACCACCCCAACAAAAACCATTAGCAGTCACTCCCCATTTTTCCATAACTCTCCCAGCTCTAGGCAACCACTTTATCTGCTTTCTATTTTTATGGATTTGCCTATTCTGGTTGGGTATTTCATATACAGTAGAACTTCCATAGCTGACCACCTCTTTAAGTTGACCTAATTTAATTTAATTAAACTAATTTATTTATTTATTTATTTATTTATTTTTTTTTT